AAAAAAAAAAAAAAAAGAATCCAACCACAAAAGGTAACTTTAATTGTATATATAAATCCATATTACTTTTCCTAAATTGAAATCCCTTTATTTTGTGGATTTTGTTACGTATATATTCAAATTTATATAATGAATTACACAATATCATTTGACATTTTACTTTTGAATATGCTATTTTGACAGAAGAAAATTGATAGAATTGGTGCCAGAATCCTAGGTAGGGGGAAGTGATTTGATAGAATAGATGATTGTATTTTAAACAGTTTAATGATATATTGTCATGTAACATTATGTCAACAATTATATCAAGTATTCTAGCACTGTAGTATAATTGCCCTACTATTTGTCAGTTTAAAATACAATCAACAATTTCATCCAATTTTTTCCCTTCACATTATATTATGTAATGGAAAAATTGTAGCCGAGGTACCAAACCTTTCGTTTATTGGCAGACTTTGCCCAAACTATCATTTTGTGCCAGCGAAGGTTCCAAACCTTTCATAAATATGCAGTCGAAGTTCAGATGGATAAAAACCGTCCATTTGACCGTTAATTGACCAAGAAAAGTAAATGTTGACCTATTTTGACTAAATTGGAAATGATAAAATGGTAACTTGATAATTACCATATTAAATAAATTGAAAAAAAATCAAAAAATAAAACATCTAAGAAAAAAATTATAAAAAGGGTTGTCTTCTTCAACCACCCCACCCCACCCCATCCCGAACCACCGTCCCGGAAATGAACCTGTTATCCAAACCACTGACGACTCCCGCATGGCTTTACCACCAACCCACTTCCGACATTACTCCTCACCTAAATCCCGAATCTCGACGCCACCAACCCACTTCCAGCTTTACACCAACCCTAAACCCACTTCCAACATTATAACAAAAGCACCTGATCTGCCAAATTTTATACCATTTTAATAACAACCGATTCTCAAGACTTGAAGCCCAACAATAACCTATTGTTCAAATTTATCAAAACCCAGCCCAAAATGAAGATCTATGAGTTAATCTCTCACCATGCACGGCAGAAGATTTGGATTAAAAAGGAAAAATCAGAATAAATAAAAGGGAAAATTGGACAAAAATCGGGCTTTTGGGTGAGATGGAGGTGGAGGTGGAGGTGGAGGTGGAAGCGAGAGTGGGGGTGTGGTGTTGAGTTGGAGAAAGAAGGTTGGAGCGGGGGATGGCGGTGGCCGGTGGATGGCAGACGGCACCACTGACGATGGCCTGTTGCAATTTGGAGGGGAGGGGGGAGAAGAAGATGATGTCCACATTTTCTTTCTTTCATTTTTATTTATTTATTTATGATTTATCTATTTAACTTATTTAATTAATGGGATAATATGCAAGTTACTATTTTGCCCTTACTAATATGGTCAAAATTGGAGTCAAAGTCAATTCTTTGGTCAACTAACGATGAAATGGATGGATTCCATCCATCTGGGCGTCGGCGGCATATTTATGAAATGTTTGGGACTTTCGCTGGCACAAAATAAAGGTTTGGACAAAGTCTGTTAATAAATGAAAGATATGGTACCGCTGCTGCAATTTTCCCTTATGTAATCAATTATGTACAAGTATCAAAGTCCTTATTTTTTGGCACTTCTAGTCAAAATCATGACACAGTCACTCTAATGCTTGTGTGAAAGTGAAGTTCTGAACACTACTTTTCTTGGCATCATTTTTAATCTCACATTATATTGAAAAAAAAAAATACTTTTAAAGTATTTTGATAATTTTCTCTACTTTTATCAAAGTCTCATTTTTAACGTTTACGGATTTAATTTTCTTGCCCTCTCTTCGAAGTTAGACAATTTTAGCTTTTCATCGATCAAAAAATCTTGTGTGCGACGAAAATTTAATTTCTTGTTGACTTGATCATGTTGAGTGGTCCTCTTGACCTGCTAAATTTCCTTCACCATGACCTACAAAGCCTTGGAAGATAAAATAAGAAATTTAATTTTCTGAAGAGTTGGGGGAGTTAATAACGCTGAATGGCAGTGGCAGGTGAGTAAAGTGGAAATGCCGATATTTTGACTTTGATTGCTTTGTCTTGCTTTATTAATATTAAATATTCGTTTTAGAAAAAAAGAATTCAAAATAGGAATATAGCTGTGGAGATCACCAACCTTTAATGGGTGTTTGCACTTTGGTGTCTAACTCCAAAAACGGAGCATTTCGGTCCCGATATTTCATTTTGGTAGGATTTGAGTACGATTTTATCCTTATCTTTCATTCACAAGTCGAGATGTTGTTTCAATGATAATGTATTGTTTAGAATTTATCCTTACATGGTTTTATATTTAAAATGATGGCAGTGGTATAAACTTTAAATGGTTGTGAAAATGTACATCACAACTTATTGATTTATTTATCAGCAGATAACGTGTTGAGATTTAATTGAGTCAAAATTTCACCATACAAATAAAAAGAAATTCTCCAATTTCTTTTGCCATTAAGTTACATTGCATAAAGCACAATCAAAGTAGTGAAAAGATTTTGATAATTTTAATTTAATATATTGTCACCTCATCAATTTAAAAAAAAAAAACAAAAAAGAATCTAGAAAAATGTGATATATAACAAACATTTTCAACCTTAAATGGGTGGAGAAACGACACTTCTCCCTTTTTACAACATTCCAAATGTATGTCCATCAAATACATTCATTAATGTAAGACAATATTACATTAATGTGTAAATAATTCTTTACAACATACATTTAATTTCTTACATCTTTATTTAAACGTCGTTCATTTATAGCCATGCATAAGATACAATAATAAAGAAAATCGTGATACTTCATTAAACCATGCATCATTTATACTTCAATTGATGTTCCTAACTCTGAACTTCGTTCACACGTCCGTTCTTCACAATATTCGTGGTAAAATTGGAGACTTATATAGATATTTGTAAAACTAGCATGTTTTAAATTCGTCTATTCATTCTATACAACACTTATTAATTAGGGATAAATATCAAGTTAAATGAGCATTTTTTCTCTTTCGATATTTAACCTGACTTTTTTCATGTTATTCAAACCATTAACTTGATATACATAATCCTATGTTTTTCAAGTGTTTATAAAATCGCCAATCAATTTTTTTTCCATATTATCTTCGATCATCCAAATCATCAAACTATCTTGTGAACAAATTCAAAAAAAAAAAGAAAAGAAAAGAAAAAGGATAAACGTAAATAATTATAAAAGTCACTTCCCAACTTTAGCCCATGTTTGGTTTAATATAAAGTCAAAGTCAACAATTAATTTCAATAATATGTTTCATGGGATTTATAATTTAACAATAAATTTTATCAATATTTATCAAAATTTACTAAATATTTGATTTTAATTTCCACCAAACAAGTATTTAATTTAGGATGTTCGTTTGTCAATTGTTTTGGAGTCCTAGCCCAATTCTCATTACATCTGGACCTTACACGTGTCCATCAAAACCGACTCTTCATTATTATGATGGTATAAATTAATAAACATTTCCTTTAAAAAGCCTCCCTTTTCAATTGTTTATTTTCTTTACTCTGTTATGTTATCTTTCATCCTCATCATCTGTTTCCGTATATACATACAATACATACGTGCGGTATTTACATATATGCGTTTATATATTATTTGTTAATTGGAAGAGGAAATTATCAGCTACTATATGAATCGAAATCACAAAATTCCTTGATTTTATTAACCCTGGCTGGATCAATCACTCAACCTTCACCTTTAGGTACCTAAAATTTGAATGGCTCCTCTGTTTTCATATTCGAGTCAATACATTAATCTTAACTTTTTAATTGATTTTGTGTTTTGTTTTGTTCGGAAAAGTTTGACAGTTCGTTTTGATTGTAAGTCGATTTAGTTTCTGTTTTAGCTTTGAATTGTTGTGTTTTTGTTTCGATATTTGTCTTTATTGTTATTATTTTGGTTGGTACCGATTATCGTTTCTACTTAATATTTGTTGATTTTCATGTGTTATATCAAAATAAAGTTTCATTATTATTGAGTTATTCACGTATTCAGTTAGGTTTCTGAACTGCGATTTTGTTTCTCTCTATTTTTGTTTACGTTGAAGTGCAAATTCTGGTAATTTGTTTGTTTAACTATTGGATGATCAGTTAATTCTTTTATTCACGATTTTGTGACTTGAAAATGGATATCTATAAATGAAAGGTGTTTTTACTCTATATAGGAGCGTATAAGAATGGAAAACCGAGGTCAAAAAAGAGCTGAAGCTGTAGATGAATGGCCAGCTGATAAGCGAGCTTGCAGTTCATCTGAATTTAGGCCTAGTGCCTCAAACTCATCAGCCCAAACGCCAATGAGCTCATCCCACGATGCTGATATGGACACGTCATCATCAACGTCTGGATCAACTCGATCAGAGGGTGATGGGGAGAAGGACTCCACGTATGGTTCTTGCGATTCCGATAGCAGCATCCGCGACTACTATAGAAGGCGCTCGTGGGGTGATCAAAGCAAATTTAAGAATGTACTGTCAAGATTGAGTGAGGAGGTGGAGGAATCTGGGCAACTGGCTGCCATCACCGAGCTTTGTGAATTGTTGTCCTTTGCTACTGATAGTTCATTATCTAACTTAATGGCTGACTCATTTTCTCCTATACTTGTGAAGTTGGCTAGTCAAGACAGCAATCCCGATATAATGCTCTTGACAACAAGGGCAATAACTTATTTGTGTGATGTTAATTCTAGGTCCTCAGGTTTTCTCGTCAGACATAATGCAGTTCCTGTCCTTTGTCAAAAACTAATGGTGATTGAATACTTGGATGTGGCCGAGCAAGTATGTTGCTGAAACTCTATCCACTATATTTTGTTGTACATTGTATGGGATTAAATTCTGGTTAACAAATTTATCTTTTGATTGTTGGATTCTTTGCCTAATCCAGTGTTTGCAAGCATTAGAGAAAATTTCTCGCGAACAACCCCTTGCTTGTTTGCAATCTGGTGCAGTCATGGCTGTTCTAAATTATATTGATTTCTTTTCCACAAGTATGCAGGTACTTGTATATATCAAATGTGTTTACGATAATAGATATGGCACGCATATATATGGTGTTATGAAGTTTGATACTCAAACCTAGTCACCTTTTTCCCCTTTTTATCCATATTAGAGGGTCGCGCTTTCAACCGTGGTTAATATATGCAAGAAACCCACTTCGGAGTCTCTTTCGCCTTTCATGGAGGCCATTCCTGTTTTGTGTAATCTTCTTCAGTATGAGGACAAACAGGTATTTTTTGTATAAGCATTTAAATAACTTCTTTCCATAAAAGCATTTTTGTTAACATCATCTGACCTTCATTGTCATCTGTACGTTTTCTTTCAGCTAGTTGAAAGTGTGGTCACTTGCTTGATTAAGATAGGGGAACAAGTTTGTCATTCATCAGATATGCTGGATGAATTTTGTCGACATGGCCTGATTCAGCAAGCTTTGCATCTCATAGACTTGAATAGTCGTACTACCCTTGGTCAACCAATATATGTTGTAAGCTGATCTTTATTATCTATCTCCATCAGGCATCTGGCCCCTCTTAGAGAATGTGTTTTGGTTTTAAGGTGTACATTTCAATGATTTTTTTTTCAGGGTTTGATAGCATTACTTGTCAAGTTGGCTTCGGGCTCTGCTGTTGCTTTCAGGACGCTTCTTGAGCTTAATATAAGCAGCATTATAAAGGACATTCTATCCACATATGACCTCTCTCATCATGGAATGCTGTCTACTTCTGTAGTGGATGGTCATTGCAGTCAGGTCACTGGCGCTATTACTCTCTTACATGAACTCACACAATCCCCCAGCAACACAGTGCACTGATTCTCCCACATTCATTCACTAACGCATACAAAATATTTTGTTCAATTTGATCTAGAAATTTATATTTCTTAGGTATAGGAGGGCATAATCTCTTCCTTTTTCTGGGTCTCTTTAGATAAAAATGCCAGTAAAATTTTGCGTTGCACTCTAGTAGTTTTCAACTGGACTTTCAAGCAGAAAACAGCTTTAAGATTGTAAGTTTATGATTTTGAAAGAGTTGAATATTTGAGGTAAGTTGATGTTGAGCCATCATATCCTGTAAACTGAAAGTTTCAACAATATGTTGAGTTTTAAGACCAATAGATCAGATGTTTTTAATTTTTACAGAGAATTTTTTGTTCGAAAGTTCGAAGCTTCTGTGTTTACTGCTTGAGGTATAATATAATCTGATTGGTGGACTGTACAATTTGTTAATCATTTTTTCTTTTTATTTCATGTTCATGCTCGTAGCTATTTTGCTTCAGTTTCTTTCTCAAGAAATTATGAACTATAGATCCACACATGTGAATAACGTTTGAATCATTTCTCACTGTAAGCATGTAAGTCTTCCTGCTGGTTTTCCTCCTCAGATGCACGGAGTATTGAAGTTGTTGAATGAGCTTCTCCCCACAGTAACCAGGGAACAAGATATTGAAGTTCAACTACTGTCAGACAGGGAAGCTTTTCTTATGGAGCGACCTGATATAGTTGAGAAGTTTGGAATTGATTTGCTTCCTGTTTTGATTCAGGTTAGTTTTCTGGCACATGCATCTTTAACTTTTTTCTTTACCTTCCCTTTGCTTAACAGTTTTTATTTGTTCATGTCATCCTCGAGTAGGTGTTGCATTCTGGTGTGGATATGTATATATGTTACGGTTGTTTATCTATAATCAGCAAGTTAGTTTCTTGGAGCAAATCTGACGTCCTTCTTACTCTACTGCAAACTGCCAACTTCTCAAGGTGAAAGGAAGTTTTTCTTCTTTACAATTTAGTCATCTGCTGATAAGTTTCTTTTTCTAAAGCTTGCAATTGCTTGTGTGTGTCATGACAGCTTTTTGGCTGGAGTTTTTACAAGGAAGGATCCTCACGTGATCCTGTTAGCCCTTCAGATTGTCGATACAGTTCTGCTGAAGCTCCCTCACGTTTTCTTGAAAGCCTTTACCAAGGAAGGTGTCCTTTTCACCATTTATGGTCTATTTTCACCAGACAAGTGTTCGCAGTTCATGTCTTCGGTGTTTGACGGAAGGAGGTTTGCAAAAGATGAATGTAAAAAATCTGGTCCACCTGATGTCCAAAGGTGCCCATGTTTTACTTTTGATGCTGGACCTGAAACAGGTTCTTGCAAGCTTCAGAAAGATGCTGTTCAAAATCTTGCAAGGCATATATGGACTAACCACTTTTCAGTCGAATCACCAAACCCAGAGAAAGTACTCACCGATATTCTTCAGAAGCTCAGGTCTTTATCAACTGCATTAACAGCCATGTTAAGTAAATCCCTGAATGATGTTGCTTCCACTCAAGAGGAAGATGAAATATACAATTTACTGCATCAAATTATGTTAGATCTCAATGGGAAAGATCCCATTTCCACTTTTGAGTTTGTTGAGAGTGGAATCGTGAAGGCACTAGTTAATTACCTAACAAATGGCCAGCATCTGGGGGGTAAGGCAGAGAATGGTGCAGTTGATCAACTGTACATTATAGAAAAACGATTTGAGGTGTTTGGAAGATTATTGTTGTCCTTCTCTGACCCAGCTTTGGAGGAATTCCCACTTTTGACACTGGTGCGAAGATTACAAAGTGCTCTATCTTCTAGTGAAAATTTCCCCGTCATCTTGAGCCATACGGTTAGACTGAGAAACTCATATGCCACTGTTCCATATGGGCGCTGCACTTCATACCCATGTCTCAAAATACAGTTTGTGAAAGAAGAAGGGGATATTGGTCTGCGTGGTTATACTGAAAGAGTTTTGAATGTTGACCCCTTTGTACCTTTGGATGCTATTGAAGGATATTTGTGGCCTAAACTGAATAATAGGAAAACAGAGGATTTAAAATCCAGCTCTCATGCTTTGAAGGAGAAAGGAAGCTCGAGTTCTCATTCGCTGTCTGATTCACCATTGTCTTCACCTGAAGGAACGGCCAGTTTTGAACTGAGAACTGTAGACACAGGAGATTTAACTGATTTTCATACTGTGAGTTGATTCCTTCTTGATTATCTCTAGTGTATGCAGGCTCCTTCCTTAGATATGCGGCTTATCAGTTGACTCCTCCCCCTTACACTTTTGTATTGCTAGCCACTTGACAAATTATTTATTTTTATTATTGCCTATTGAATTCCATTTTCTCCCTCACCGTCTGTTCATTTTAAACCAGTGGCCGTTTTTCCCTTGCCTTAAAATATTACCTTACTTTGTTTAAATTTTATTTTTTACAAGGAACCTGTAGAGAACGAACAGCATTGTCCTCTTGAAGAGGATGGGAGTACAAATGCAGATCATCCAGGACAGTTTGATAAAGAAGATGCTTCACCAAAGTTGTTATTCTATTTAGAAGGGAAGCAACTGGACTGTACATTGTCACTGTATCAATCGATACTCAAACGACAACTTGAACTGGAAGCTGATAACATCGCAAGTGCAAAATTGTGGAATCATGTATATAAAATAACATATAGAAGAGCTGTGAAATCCAAAAATAGTTATGACGAACATCACCATAATGTAGCTCAATCTTCTTTGTCTAGAAGAGTCTCAGTCTTTAATTGCGCTTCGTTTTTCTCTGGCATGCTTGTTCCAGAAGTTGATGTGGAGAGGTCCAGTGCGGCTTGTGACATATTGTCCCTTCTTAAAAGTTTGGAAGGGATAAATGGGTTCAGGTTTCATCTGATGTATTGTGAAAGAATATCGGCTTTTGCTGAAGGAAGAACTGATAACTTCGATACATTAAATTTAGCAGTTCATGGTGTATCCCAAAATGAATTTGTAAACAGTAAGTTGACAGAAAAACTAGAACAGCAGATTCGGGATCCTATGGCGGTCTCTGTTGGTGGCATGCCATCATGGTGTACACAATTAATGACTTGGTATCCTTTCTTATTTGGTTTTGAAGCAAGATGTAAGTATTTCCGTCTGGCAGCATTAGGTCGATCACCAGTTCACACTCAATCAACGTCAATTAGTAACATGGGAGTTTCAAATGGTAGGCAGCATAATAATGGAAACTTTCCTCGCAAGAAGTTTTTAGTTCATCGGGATAAAATTCTAGACTCTGCTTCCAAGATGATGGACCTTTATGCCCGTCAAAAGGTTGTCGTGGAGGTGGAATATAATGAAGAGGTGGGTACTGGCCTTGGCCCAACATTGGAATTCTATACAATGGTTTGTCATGAGTTTCAGAAAAGTGGCTTGGGTATGTGGAGAGATGACCACATTTCGCTTGACTGCATGAAAAGCTCGGAGGCTGAGGATTCTAAATTTTTGGTGTCTCGTTTTGGACTCTTCCCTCGTCCTTGGTCACCTTCATCGAGAATGTCAAGTGGCATAGAGTTTTCAGAAGTAAATAATAAATTTATTCTTTTGGGTCAGATTGTTGCAAAAGCTCTTCAAGATGGAAGGGTTTTAGATCTTCCCTTCTCGAAGGCATTCTATAAACTCATTCTGGGGAAGGTATGTGGCCTTTGTCATTGACTGGGTGATCTTTTGTTATTTTTTGCTATCTGTTTTCCCATCTAATTATACACATTATGTTTTGTTCAGGAACTTACCATGTATGACATCCAGTTGTTTGATCCCGGATTGGGTAGGGCTCTCTTAGAGTTTTGTGCTCTTGTTGAAAGGAAAAGGTATTTGGAATCTCTATGCAAAGCAAAATCATGTGAGCTTGATATGCACTTCCGTAACACAAGAATTGAGGATCTTTGCCTTGACTTCACCCTTCCTGGATATCCAGATTATGCTCTCAATTCTGCATCTGATTTAAATATGGTTAGCTTTTGGCGATCTTTCTACCTACTTATTTCTGAGATTTTTTCAGATTTTTAGATAATCTTCAAGGACTTGAATCATTCTATTTGCACTGACATTGCTAGGTAAATCTGTATAATTTAGAAGAATATGTCTCATTTATCGTAGATGCAACGGTAAAATCTGGAATCTCTAGACAAGTGGAAGCATTCAAGTCAGGTTTTGATCAGGTTAGCACCCATCATCCCTAGTCTTTTACCTCAAATCTCTTTGAGCTGCTTTCTTCTGGAAAAGATGAGGTGTTGTCACTGATTGCTAGGGAGCTATCTTTTTTAAAAACCAATGTTTTCTGGCCTTTGGTGTATATGCACAAAGCTTGCTGGATGTCACGTTCTGGTGCATGAAAGATTTGAGCATTTGCATCAAAAGCAGAGTTCAAGAATAAAAGATGGAAATGTATTTTACAGAGATTTATTTGAACATTTTCAGAACTAAAATAAGCAAGTATTATGTGTGTGATTGTCCTGTTTATAATTTTGTGGCATGTTATATGAGTTTTACTCATCCTTTATCAAATGAGCTGTTAGGTGTAAGATTCTTTCATTGTTTATACAGATGATCTTTGACAGCCTTCCAGGAAGTTCATAAATTTTTTGTCTTCCAGATATTGCTCCATGCTGCTACTCTCTTGTGTCTGCTTTATGGCTTCCATCATTAATCATATTGAAAAGGTTGTCGTTGTTTCTGTCCGTTTACTGTTCATTTCAGGTCTTCCCTATAAGACATCTAGAGATTTTCACTGAAGACGAATTAGAGTGCTTGCTATGTGGAGAACAAGAACTGTGGAATGTATGTATTTTCACACTATAAACATATGTATGATTTCATCTGGCATGCAATAAAGATTTTCTTGTTTCTTTTTCCTCCTGGATACAGTCGAGTGCACTTTTGGATCATATCAAATTCGATCATGGATACACAGTTAGCAGTCCCCCAGTTGTAAACGTTAGTATTCATTCTATTGCTTGTTCTTAATTTAGACCTTGATAATTTTTATATTCAGCTAATGGCAATCTTCTTAACTTCCAGTTACTGGAAATCATGCGAGAGTTTGATAATAAACAGCAAAGAGCGTTCTTGCAGTTTGTGACTGGAGCGCCCAGGCTTCCAACTGGGGGTTTGGCTTCTCTCAGCCCCAAATTGACAATTGTTCGAAAGGTCAGTATTATTATGCGTTTCATTTTCAATTATGTTGATTTTGGTTTTTAAATTTGTGGACCGTGAAAGACTCC